ATCGTCCTGGCAGGAGGAGGAGGGAAAAAGGCAGGATGTCTCATTGTATCTATACACTAATCCAGCATTTCATTCAGCACAGCACATACAGATGCAATCCTAACAAGGGAATGAGGATGTTGCTGCCAAAACTGCTTCTGCTTTTCTTATTTCCAAAGTAGAATAGTACACTTGGTCCAAAAGGCTCACTGGGTCCAGCTTTGGATTGGGGCATATGGCTGGCCTTCTCTTCTTTCTTCTTGGCCTGGAAAGAACTCTTTCTTCTGCTAGCACTTGTAAGGGCCAAATCCTCAGTGAGTGTAAATCAGTGTGTCTCTGTTAACCTCCATGGAGCTGCCCTGATCAACATATAGTGGGTACTTATACACAGCAGCATAATGCGTGTCTATACTACAAGCCTTTATTTTGAAATAATGTTGAGCAGAAGGATTTCTTACTCCGACTCATGATAACCCTCATTTCCTGAGGAGTAAGGGAAGTCGAAGGAGTGTTCTTTCTTTGACTTCCTGCTGTGTGTAGGCAGTGACAAAAGCCAAATTAAGCTATTTCGACTTTAGCTATGCAATTGACATAGCTAAAAATGAGTAGCTTAATTTGACTTTAACCCTGCTGTGTAAATGTACCCAGTGGGGATCTGGCCCTACATCTCTTTTCTATCTTCATCATTGTGCTTTGTTCTTTTTTTCTTTTTATTGTGAACGTCTTCAACAGGTAAGTGATTGAAGGTAAGGCACTTAAGGTTCCGAGATATTTACTAAAGCTTTAAGATTATCTTTATTGAATTAATTTCACAGATAGCATGAGCCTCATTTATGGGACATCAGTGGCCACATTAATCTTTGTATCATGTCCCTTTCTCAGAAATGAGAGCTTTCCAGAGATCAATGTGCATTGGTCGGAATTCTCTTGGCATGGGTCTTCGTTTAGGCTACGTCTAGACTGTGGTAGTTTTTCAGAAGAGGAAATGCAAATGAAGCGCTCATTTGCAAATCTTGTGCTCTCATTTGCATATTCTCTTCTGATCCTTTTTGCGGAAGAGGTTTTTGCGATATAAAGCTCTGTGTAGACGGGGCCATTTGTCGGAAAAAAATTTTTTTGGTGCAAGATCCCTTATTCCTCAAAAAATGAGGTTTGCAGGATCTTGTGGAAAATGGTTTTTTTCCGACAAATGGCCCCATCTACATAGGGCTTTTTATTGCAAAAACCTCTTCCGCAAAAAGGATCAGAAGAGAATATGCAAATGAGAGCGCGAGATTTGCAAATGAGCACTCCATTTTCATTTCCTCTTCCAAAAAACTGCCTCAGTCTAGATGTAGCCCCACTGGCTACCTGCAAAGGTCTTCCTCAAAAGTTGAGCTTGTTATTTTGAAAATAATTTGACCTGGAAACAAGTATGTAAAAATTCAAAACAGGGCCCAATTAATCTCACACAGTTCCTTTGTAATCAAAAGATGAACCTCAGCTACAGATTTTTTTTTAACTGTCAGACTATGCTTAAGTATTTGTATCAATTTGAATAACAACCTGAGTCCATGATTCATTTTTTATTGACTTGGGAAAGTCAAGAAAGAAGCCAATGAGATCAGATTTTTTGGCCGAGTAGGGCCATACATATAGAAATATCTTGTTTTGTTAACACTCATGTAATACCTTTTTATATGCAATGCACTCTGTAAACAACTTTATTAATGAATCTTTGCCCTTTACGAAGTTGGTAAGAGTTATCCCCATTTAACAGAGGAAGAAATTAAAGCATAGAAATTAAAGACCCGAGTGTATCATCCATAATCCTGTTGAATACTAGTATTGTATTTGCATTGTGGTAGCAGTTACAAGCCACAATCAGGAATGGAACTCCACTGTGCTAAGCACCATATGATCCGATAACAACAGCTACCATGCCAAAGAGTTTATAGTCTAGTACTTTACTCGATGAATGGTCCCAAAGGTAATATTCAACATGATTATGGGTGATAATGAAACCTTAAGTTGTGAAGCTACCACCCAATCTGAAGTCCCTTCAGCCAATGGGGCCTGGTCTACATGCTTAAGGTATGACATCCAACTATACAAAATGCATAGCTGGATTCGACTTACCTTAAGCTGAGCCGCTGCAGCATCTACACTGTGGGAGGCTTAAGGGAGCACACACGCCCACTGGCTTCCCTTACTCCTTGAAGAATGCAGAGTACACAATGCTGAGGGGAGGGAGGCTGCCCTTGGCGTTCTATTTGGAGATCTACACTAGACCCCCTAAATCAAATGCTAGAAGATCAACCTCTGGATGGTCAGTATTCTCCGTAGTATAGATATGCCCAGGGAGTTTTGCCAATGACTTCAGTGGAACCAGGAATTTACCCCAGATCTCTAGTTTGTGACAGAAATATGATTAGCACTCAGAAGTTCATAGTATTCACTAGAATACCTTGTCTCCCTGTCTCAGCTATTAACAATTTAACAGACTAGAGGCCTGATGTCACTCTTTCACATAGTTGTTCTAATTCTTTTTTATTTCTAAATTACCCATGAAGTAATAAAATAATACTCTTGCACCATGATTTTGAGTTGACACATTGGGGTCATTGATTCAAATACTTTAGTACACACAGTCGTATGGAAATCTGAAGCTCTCAAGAGGCAATAATAAGGATAAATATAGATGGGGGGAGGGGAGGCAGAAGAAATTACATATGCATTCTACTCTGTTAATTATGCTAGGCAAAAGCTTTGTGTAATTTTTTTTATAGATAGTTTCAGCTTATGGAGATATTATTAAAAGGGCAGTGGCAGGATCCCCTTTTCCCATTTCTTTCTGAGCAAATTTTACACAAATGTAGAAAAAAAATTACACATTTCTGAATAAACATACTTATTTTTTTATAACCTCCAATATCCTTGTAATCACTAACAATCTTCAGCTCTGTAAAGTGTCATAGTCCATGTGGCTGGAGATCTTGTTTGTTGATGGTTGATGCAGACAGTGACATGCTCACTCCTCTTCTGTAAGTAGCCTTGTAATCCTTTACATTGCATTTTTCTCTCTGTAATTCCCATTGCTGACATGACTCAAAATGGCAGTGGTAATGTAGTGATTTGGTAGAACTTCTGATTCAGTACCTTGAAAACACACAGTGGTTGCAGAAGGAGGTGGTGGAATCACCTAGGGCCTGATATTCTTTGGAGAAAATAAAAAAGAAGCCGTGTATGCTATACCAATAAATACCCTTTCAGTTGAACCACTGCTCGGTTTTAATGGGAGTTACAAGTACCAGGAAGAAAATTTAACCTTTCACTTTGTGATTTATCCTGTTGGTAAAATGGTGCCTCCCTCCTTCAAAGCTATGACCTAGGTCACATGGACACAATACAGCAGCTCATATTATACCAGTTATTTTTTGCCACTTGGCCTCTTTAGCAAGGTCAGTGACAGAGCCTGGACTTCAGTGCTTGAGTCATTCTTCAAAAGAGATACAATGTCTAACGTCCCTTGAATATTGTGTATCAGTTGGATAAGTTTTACATTATCAGCAGGTGCCTAATTTACTAAAAATCAGCCTAAGAATTTGCTGATTTTCAGTAAAGCTTAAAACTTGATGCAGTTCATACTCATTTTATTACAATTTGATATTTAATTAAAATCAGTTCAAGAATATAGGAAATATCAAACTTTGAAGCTGAAACTATTTATTGAAAGGCAATATTTTCATGAATCTAGGCTTATGGTACGTATTAGTTACATCAAGACAGGCATTTCTGGTTTTTTTGTATTGGTGTATATGGATGTTTTATTTATTGTTTTGTTTGAAAATTTCTAAGCCTGTAATATTTTAATTATATTGAGTGTAAATTTGACAATGCTTTGCATTTATTTTTATATTGTTTAAACCTGTTGCTTTTGCAAAATTATGAGCAGCCAGAATGATTTACATTACCATTGCATTGTTTTGGTTATGTATACATAGCGTGTCTGAGTTTACAGACATTTCAGGGATTGCTAAAATGAAAAACTCTTCAAAACCAACTGGTCTTAAAATTTGTACCCCTCTATTATTGTGGAAGAAACCTTTTTTAGGTTTTGGTTATGTCAGCATGCTCCTACATGAATTCATCAGACATGTTGGTTTCTGGTTCCAGAGTGTATTATGTTGAATCACATGATATGAATGTACATCTTGTAAAAGTGAGATATAAATAAACTTATAAACATTTGTAATCATGTGTTAAAGAATACCCAAAATAACAGATGCCAAAGCAATTATTTAATAGCAAGCCTTTATTTCATTAAACATACAAAGAGCTTTTCATTTATTTATCATTTTTCCTTCTTCAGGCTTTTTCAGAGAATGAATACAGTATGCTAAATCCTGCCATCAGACTGTGTACAGAACTTTCATTGAAGTCAGTGGAAATTTTTCATAGAAATTGATAGCAGAGAATGACTCAGCAATGATGAACAGATGCCACAATTTTAGGCTTTTACTTTTATATTATCACTTTTATTAAAGGCTCCTAACTTTTCCTCTAGCAGCCTCCCTTTAACAAATGATTATACATGCATAGCCATTTGGAAGCTATGTGGATCCGCTTCAAAGCCTATGGAAGTCATGGCCATGCATTTGCCCGGGGGCAAAGAGCTTAGTCCTGTCCCTCACTTTCTGTATACTGGATGCAGTTTTGGATCTTGCTAGCAGTAAATCCAGAACAATGATTTGGAAAGGAAAAATTTGCCTTCTTGCCACAGTTCATTTCATAATTTCATTATCAGCCTGGTTCAAAACCAAATGGAAGCAATAGGAGTCTTTCCATTAACTTAAAAGCACTTTTGATCAGGCCCTAAATTCAGAAATCATTCAAGAAATATCTCTCTGGAACCACAGTGCATGATACTCTTGTTGTATTTGAACTACATCAGCCTTACAAGAGGGGTTGATCCTTATACTGAGAAGAACTCCC